GACATACCTGACGAGTCCGCCAACGCCCGGCGCGTCGACCTGGAGGTTACAACCATGTAGCCGACACTGCGCGCACATCATTAAGGCAGCATTGTCAACTTGTCCACGAACTCTCAACGCCCTGAAGCTAGCGCGCAATCGTGTCCCACCCGGGTCGCGCCCACGGCCAGCTCACCTGTGGCGCAGTGCGGATCTTTCCGAGTCATCCGGCGAGTATTTCCTGCAGGATGCCAGTATTGTGGCAGCTTCCGTCCCGAAACTCATAGCTGGTGTGACTAGTCTAGAGCACGCGCGCTCAGAGCAGGTCCCGCGCGCACGAAGAAGACGATATACTTTGTCACAGGTAGTCGTTGCGTGCTCCGGTACGTATCACAGTGACACGACCCACCGCAGTGCCACCTTGCCGTGGCGCAGCCTTCTGCTACGGGTTTAAGAGAGTCCGCAGCCGTACGCCTTCGTGATCGCTGCCCTTCGATCGTTGGTGAATCAGGACTTCTACGCGCTCTCATGTTGTTACAGTGTTCAAAGTTGTAGGCCGCCCGCTAGGTGACTTCCGCTAACAGCCTCGATGTCTCTTAGCTGCCTGTCATCTCACCGCACCACCCTGTACTGCTCACCTGCGAAGGTCGAGATACACGCCTCGCCGGGCAATGCTCCTGGGTCTAGGGAGTTCGCTATTGTAGGTGCTGAGCTCTTCGCGCAACCGAACATGCCTCAATCTTGCAACCACCAATGCTAGGTCTACCACCGCAACTGAAATAAGGCGGAGTGAACGCATTTACTTACTCTAAGAGTACGGTAGAATGGCGTCGTTAGCCAAGCCGGCGTGGTCTATTTGAACACTGCACTTGCGGCGACACTACAAATAAAAATTAATCGGCCACTCCAAGCAGCTAATCTCCTTCGAACGAAAACTGGTTACCCACAACTGTATAACATTTTGATAGGATAAAATCAGAACATTGCTTGGGTTTTCCCATTTAAGATGTCCAACCCAGTTAAGACACTGCCATGCCCGCACCGGTTCCTGCTGCTTTTTCGCTTCCGGGCGTCGTTGGTTCTTTCGCTCGCTGACTGGTGCGCCGGCTACGGTCTCTTCTGAGCCGGAAGCATGATTCGGTGGCTGGTCGATGTCTTAATGATTGTACTCTGACTCCTCTATCCCCCGTACAGACGGGGACAAGCTTGGCGCCAGTCGGGGGTAACCTAGGTCGAGTTTGTGATTAATGTCTGATGGGGAATTCATCGTTCGTTCGCGTGCCTGACGCACCAACCCGCAAGTCGAGACCGGACGTTAAAGACCCGCCGGTGGTACCGCCGTCTAACGGAGGACATATTGGGAAAAGCGAAAGGGATTGTGTTCGTTCTGCCGCGATAGTCGCGTCTCACGCGGTGGGCGGCGGGGGCTGGGGTAGTCAGAGGGAACGCGGGTCCTCGCTTTCGTAGTTGGACGATGTGTGAGTGGAGGATTCATGGTTTGGTTGCGAAGGATGGATCCCTGTAATTGTTTGTTGTTTTTCGTTGTAACTTTCTGTCGTTTTCTGTCTTGCGTTCCGCTTGATTTGAGTTTCGTTTGTGTCAGTGTATTTGTCGGCTTGTCGTTTTTTTCCTCGCTCTGTCGATTTTGTGTCGTCTTCAAAAGTATTTTACGTGGCCTGTCGAGTTTCGTTCCGCTCTCTGGCTCAGGTGACGCGCGTGGGGGGGAGTTGGAGGATGTCGAGAGGATGCTGCTTTGCGGCGTTAAACGGGGTGGTTTCGTAAGATATGGTGGGCGGGAATGATAAGTTTGCGGAAAATTGGGGAGAGGACGAATTCTTGTATTCGCTTTTGCCGAGTGATGGAGATGTGTGAAGGATGTGAGGGATTTTTCTGATCGTTGGGATCTCAGGTTGCGTTTGAAAGTGTGTACATGGATGGCCGCGCCGCAATATGAGCCCGGAGGACGTATTTTCATTCGTGTTATTTTTGAAAGGTGTTTGATTGGGAGGTGGCAGTCCAAGTCGGTGGTTGGGCATATGAGATGATGGGGCGGATATAGGTGTAGTAGGTTTGAAGTTTCTTTTTTGTGGGAAGGGAAGGATGGGTGAGAATGGGTATCAGGGCGTTCGTTATTCGGGTGGCTTTCGTTCTGGTCTTGTGGATGTGGTTGGTCCAGAGGCGGCGTCGGGAAAAAGTCCAAGGTATTTAACTTCGTCTGTCCAAGGGATTGGTGTGTTTGCTATGGATAGAGGAGGGGGATTGGAGGGGAAGGTTTTATATGAGAAGACGATGACTTGTGATTTTATGGGGTTGATGATGATAGCGTTTTGAGGCCCAGAGTGTAAATGTATCTAAAGCGGATTGGAGACGGATAAGGGATCGGTTTAGGGAGTGGAAGGAAGTAAGGAAAGCAAGGTCATCGGTGTAAAGGAAAGTTTGCACTCCATGGGTGCGTGGGATGTCATTAATGTATATGGAAAATAGGATTGGGGATAGAACGGCTCCTTGTGGGTCGCCGGCCTGGATCGGGTGATTAGGTGATAATTTTGATAGGTAACGAACGTGGGAATAGCGGTGACTTTGGAGTAGGGAATGGAAGTGGTTGGGAACGTACGGTCGGAAAGTTGGTTACCGCCTCGCCCTCAAGGGGCGTGTGGGGAAGTTTGATTTCAGATGTCCCCCTCGGAGATATTCATTTTGTACGAAATATTTTTGTAATTTGCATATTTTTCGAGTTATTTTGATTTGTCAAGTTAAATGGACCCTCCTGTTTATCGCAATATAATCGGAGAGAAAATCTTCATGTAGGTGTGCGATGCTCAAGGGACCGAAATACTTTGTCAGGGAAACTTTTAATTGCACTAAATATGAAAGGGTTTACATCTTTTGAAAATAAAACATTTGATCACTTTTAGACTCATCTAACATGGCCATTTTTGAAAATAATGGGCAAGCTAGCACACCAAAAAGTTATGTAATTTCGTAAAAATGCACGTAATGCAGTAACATTTTGAATCATATTTAATTTTTGAATTGAGGTCACCCAAAAATATTCTTGCAAAATTTGAGAGCAATGACTCCTACGATTGTAAAAAAAATTCACCTTTATACAATAGATGGCTTTCAGCACGAACACAAACATTCTCTATTTCTACAGATATTCCAGGAAAACCTTCAATGGCAGCATTTCAGATCAACAGGGTGAGGGTGGCTGGGGCAATTTGAATATTTAGTAGTAGTAGTAGTAGTAGTAGTGGTACTAGTAGTATTAATAGTAATAGTAGTAGTAGTAAGATGGGTTACTTTGGGTGAAGATAGCCAGTCACATATGTCAGCTGCTACTTCACTCCAAACGAACATTTTCAGAAGAAATTAGATGACCTGGAAGAGAAGATCGGGAGGATGAGCAGCAATTTCGTTGCTGGCGATTGCCATCGAGTGGGGCATGCTGCAACCGGACTCGAGAGGCCGGCGGATAATGGAAATGGCCTCCAGGACCAGACTGGGGGTGTTGAACGTTGGGGTAACATCTACTTTCAGACGCACAGGGTACACGGAGTCGATACGTGATGTATATTTTGCCTCTGAAGGAATAATAGGGCAGGTGCACGACTGGCCTGGTTGAAGACTCTACCGCCAGCGACAGCCAATACACAGCCTACCATGTGCGCCATTATACACCATTTACGGCTTAGAACGACAGCAACCAAAATGGAATGTGGCGAAACTGGATAAAGATAGGTTCGCCGTGGTAATGACAAGCGGAGCTGAAGTGGTTGCCTCTAAATACTGCGGGCGGGAGGGAATGCAACAAGCTGAGAACAGCGCTAACTCCTCCATGAAGCTAACTGAGTGCGCATGTAAAGCGGCGATGCCACAGAGAGGATCACGGAATAAAAGGGCACCGGTCTACTAGTGGAACGAGATAGCAGGCTTTAAAAAAAAATTGCATACAAATAAGGCAGAGGGCCCAAAGGGCTAGGGAAACGAGGAAGCTGTAAGACTCTCAGCTGACTACCGCACAGCAGAGAAAGCAAGATTCGTAAATGGCAGAGTACTATATAGGAAATCGACAACGATCCTTGGGTACAAAATTGTAATCAAGAAATTCGGATGCCTGTCGAACGTAGTTATGTACACGACGACAATGGAGGATATTATGAATGCACTATTCCCCACCCACCCGGAAAGATTTGACCGTAAAATTGAAGTACCACCCGGCGATGCCCCGTTATTCACTGAAAGCGAGCTTCACTGGAGGTAGAATTCCTTAATAACAGAAAAGCACCAGGATCCGATAGCATACCAACGGAAGCGATGAAGGCAGCGCACAAAGCACGACCTGGCTTGATGCTAAACATATATAACGACTGCCTGAAGCATGGTATTTTCAGCTATAGACGGATGACTGTAAGACTGACCTTTATTAGTAAGGGAAAAGGAGAAAGAAACTCTCCATCATACAGGCCACTGTGTATGTTAGACACTGCTGGAAAGGTATTCGAGAAGTTGCTCCAACCTCGGATACTGAGGGTAATAGAAGCAGGGGGCTGTCACATCGGCAACAAGGATTCCGAAAAGGACACACCATCCACGCAATTGAAGCGGTAGTCGACATAAGAGGGGGCTCAGACCGTAAATCACCAGTCCCGGACGATCACTCTACTTGTTCTTTTAGATGTCAAAAATGCATTCAACTCTGCCAGATGGAGTGACATGCTGAATGCACTCGGGGAAAAAATTAAGCTATCTACGTATTTGATGCGCGTAATGAAAAGCTATCTTAGGGACCGTACACTCCCGTGCGATACAGACGAAGGTCAACGAGTCAACTCACTGTCAGGTGCTGAACAAGTATTGATCCTAGGACCGCACCTATGGAATGTCACGTACGACCTCCTGAGAACGGAATTGCCTAGACACGGAGCTCGTCACATACGCTGACGATGTAGGAGTGCTCATCACAGCGCATATCAAGGAAGCATAACATTGCCTAAATGAAGTCATGCGACGCGTTAGAAGATGAATAAGCGAGCACTGTCTGTCTCTTGCAGAAGAAAATCCCAAATTGTTGTATTCACAAGGAAATGGATACCGACACGGGTCACACTTAAGGTCGGAGACTCAGATATAGAAACATGTGCGAAGTACCTGGGGCTCACTAGAATCGACACTGCCTGAAGTACTGCTAACGCAGTTCTGGGGCAGTACCACGTCGATTAGTAAAAGAGTTTGTGAGTTTAGTGAGTGGGAGTATCACACTACTTCGGGAAAGCGGTGGCTCCCAAGTGTCCCTAATGGATTCTCACAGTTCGCATCGAAATAAAAGTAGTAGTAAGTAGTAGTAGTAGTAGTAGTAGTAGTAGTACTAGTAGTAGAAAGTAGTAGTAGTACTAGTAGAAAGTAGCAGTAGTACTAGTAGTAGAAAGTAGTAGTAGTACTAGTACTACGTAGTAGTAGTAAGTAGTAGAAGTAGTAGTAAGTAGTAGAAGTAGTAGTAAGTAGTAGAAGTAGTAGTAAATAGTAGAAGTAGTAGTAAATAGTAGAAGTAGTAGTAAATAGTAGAAGTAGTAGTAAGTAGTAGTAGTAGTAGTAGTAGTAGTAGTAGTAGTAGTAGTAGTAGTAAGAAGTAGTAAACTCAGTTTCTTAGTATTCCCAACAGGGGTGAGGTGGGCTGGTTTGGGGGATGGGGTAATTGAGAGTAAGGGGTGGGGTGAGGGAGTGTTAAATTCAATTCCTATTCTTTCCTCTTCCTCCAAATCCCGCTGCTGGTTATGAGCCTTAGCTAACAACTGGAAGAGCGAACAACAGAAGCCAGGAAACAAAGGCCAGTAAGAAATGGGAATGAAACGGAATCTGCCTTTGTATTGAAAAGAGTAGTGTAGAATTATACTTGCCAGTTCGGTCCTCTCCGCCAGAAAATGTGTTTCAATATTTTTATTAAACATTAACTGCCAACCTTTTATCGTTCTTAACTTGGTAAAATAAAATCGAACAAATTTATCTTAGGGTTATGTGCATTTGTCAAGAGTTAAATTCAATTCCATATATTTTACAATTAACATAATTGGTGCACAAATAACGTTCAAGATGTGTCCACAATTACAGGAGCTTCTTCATCGTCTTCTCTCTCTAAATTAGAGAAATCCCACTCAAAACGTTCTGTAAGTCGGTCCTTAAATCTTGTAACTTTACTTTTCAGTCTACCGTCTACACAATCATTAATTTGCAAATTTAAAAATAAGTTACGCAAGCTTGAGTATACAAAATTATTACTAGAAACAATATCTACAAGAAAATCCTCAGGAATTTCTAAAAGTTGAATGTCCAAAATTGCAACAAATTCTGAGTATAGTTCACGCAATTTTGGCACTACTTTATCACACGAACACAGCAATCGAATAAGTTTTTTCCAGTGCTCAAATGCTTCCAAACTATGTCCTACCAGGAAGCAAACAAATGCAAACTGTAGTTCACCAAGAAGATTCATTGGGCTGCAACAAGTAAAAGACAAAAAAATCTTCAGATATATTCGAATCTATAAATATTTTTTGAATTTAAAAACAACTAATTTTTAAATGAATAGCATCACAAGAAATCAAGCATAGAAAAAAATTCATACAATAAAAAATATATTCAAAAGCACATTACGTTTAAACATAATTTCGGCTTATTGTATTATTTTATGCCATGACACCGAGAAATCTCTTGCAGGACAATTATTTCGAATTTGCTCAACCAAGGCAACCAGTGCAAAAGCAGTGAGGTGTCTGTGCTGTTAAATGAAATCGTTCGGAAAATGGCGTCATTCGTCGGGCCCTAAATGACATCAGCACGCCGCCTCCCTCATTGGGTGGTCGCTTCCGTGCTGCTGGTCTCTATGCGCGTACGTGCTTCGTGTCTGCGGAGCTGGGCCAGCATTCTGCTCTGCTCCGATTTCTCCGCTCCACGTGGCGTACTTCACACGCGTGAGTTCACGGGCTTCGCATGGCCACGAGCACCAGCCATCAGCGGCCCAGAGCAAATTTGCACTAGCGCCCCTCTGTGTCGTCAAAGAACAACTCTACGGTCTACCAGTTTATATTCATTTAAATCCTGCAAGAACGGACTCTCTCCTGGCCACCACCGGAAAGCAGACGTCTCACTATGTGGAGCAAAACCTAATTTGCCTACCGAAACCTGTTGGAAGACGCTGCTCTTCAAGACTTAATCTGGGGGTCGCAACTTTGGCGTTACCCCTGCCATACTTACTGCCCCAAAAAAATGTCACCCAACGCTCTTCGGCCGTCATCCGCTGCAGCACGAAGTCATCAGAGCTCCAACGGATTAGTGACCGGTATTTTACTTTTAAATTCTTTCAAATGCATCAAAATTAATTCTACCCTGAGTACACTTCATTTTTAGTAATTTTCTAAAATGACTAGAAGGGACTATAGCGGATAACAAGCTTTAGTTAAGTAACCATGTAGTAACCACTAACCTGACTATCGAAAACAAAAGACGTATAGCGCAGCTTTTCCCAGACAACGAAGACCACCGTGAACGGGAATTCAAACAATTCAGGAAGACGCTGAACCTTTTGCAATGGAAGAGTTGAGAGAAGCAGTAAAAAGGCCGGGAAAGTTCCCAGATTGGATGGCATTTTACCAGAAGCTATTAAAATTGCAGTAGATGTTGCTCCACAATATATCGTAAGAGCCACGAATAGCTACTTCGCAACCAGGAATTCCTGTCAAGCTGGAAGGTGTCTAAACTTGTTCTGCGACCTTAAGGAGGCAAGACGCCACAAGACCCATCAGCATACAGGTACACATCATATTGAACACACTCAGTAAGCTACACGAAGGTTTACTGAAGGTGCGACTAGAAAAGGAAATTAAAGACCATTAACAGATAATCAGAACGGCTTTATTAAAGGTCCAAGAAATAACCAAAATTTAGCGTTTCAGCTCGTAGACACGATAACACCAATCAAGGCAGTTTGCTACCTCGGCAACACGTTGAAAACAGAAAAAGGTGGCAATATTGGTACGATTAATACCCAACATAGGAGATTCGAGAACAGCAAAGCGTGAAATACTTTGCAGTGCGGCAAACTCAATGCTCATCTATGCAGCTTCTGTATGGCAAAAAGCGTTAATGTGGAAGAAAAGAAGAAAAACAGCGGAAACGGCCCCAAAGAAAAATGGCATTAAAAATAACCTGCGGTTACAGAACTATATCCACAACAGCATTACAGGTCTTCGAAGATACCAATTGAATCGTTTATTTCAGAAACCCGTCAAACGCCAAAACAAAAAACGCTTTAGCGATGGATTATTGTTCCAGAAGGATAGACACATCGTTTAGTGCATATGTATATGAAAAATATTCATTTATCAACTCCTTTAATAAAAAAAAAATTGGAATCTGAAAAATTGGGAGACTTAGTGTAATAGACGACTATCAATTCGGCCCTGAGTGTTCCCGTAAGTGGACGAATCGCATTCATTAACAGCCCTTGAGTGAAGTCTTAAGTGAGCACTCATTCCTATAAGCGAGGGAGCTTGCTCCATTGTGTCCCTTATGGCTCCGTCGCAGTCGTAACCAGTTTAGGTTAACTTTTACGCGGCGTTCACCGACTATTGAATTCGTTTTGCTGGTGTTTGTGTAGTGTACACAGTTAAAACCTATCATTTGTGAAACGTTTTATGGAAAACGACTTCAAAGATTATTGTGAGTTTTATACTCAACACATCCTGCGAAATTCAAAGAGATATATTAGAGATATGAGCAACCCATTGGAAAAGGTAGAATGATAAAAATGAAATATATGAATAAATAAATAATATAAATAAAAAAAATATGAATGATCGACAAAGTGCCAATGACTAAAAGAGAATTGCTGATTTCCCCCTTATTAAAAGTTCTCGTTGCACTAAGATGTTATGCAACTTCATCCTTTCACGAATATTTCCAAAATTTTCAACTTTTAGTCATTTCTGATTTATAAGACCTATTATAAGTAATTATGAATTTGCAATATAAATAACAAGTGAAGTAATTTAAATTGTTGTAAAATGGAATTTATGTTAATACTATATGGCGTTGACGTTTTCAATTACATGAAATGTTAATAATCCCTTACCAGTATTGGCAGACTTGTATTGGCAGACCATGTTACCATACCACCACCCGAACCACCATGTTCATTAGTTATACTAGAGCACAAGTTAACGTTGAGGAATCAATTGAAACTGATGTTAAGTATTATATTACAATCCAATAATGCATATAAATGTGTAGAAAATGCACAAGACATTGCAGAGATACATTAAAATTTTGATACGAGGTTCAAGGATTACATTTTTTACCAAACATTTCTTATTAGTAGGGATTTGTCATAAATGTTTAAAATATTAACATGATATCGGTGTCAAATAGTAATTGAAATTATATGAGAATCATAGATTATATTGTTACAAATCTGCTTGTTAGTAGTTATTGGTAGTAATCACAGTAGTAAAATATACCAATATTAAAGAACTTGTTTTGTCTGTATGAATACATATTGTAGGTAGTAGAAGTATTTCGTCGTGCGCGCGACGTCAACTCTCCGTGTGTCCGCCCCCTGTTAAATTGGACGCTCTTTGTACAAGATGAAGAGTGTGTGTAAACTCGGTTGCCAAGAATTTCGAAACGGCTGCCGCCAATGCCATGTTGCCACATTTCCCTTCCGCTTAAGGGAACACTCATTCCGCGGTCGTAAGGAACGTCTATGAAATACGAGCGGCTATAAGTGAACACATTTTGAGAAAGCACTTATCACTTAAGGATTCGCTCATCCTATAAGTGACGACTATGAATTCGGCCCTTATTCTCAGTTTTCGCGAAATGAGGAATTTCGCATTCCACGGGTTTCTGAAATAAATTAACTTGCAGATTAAAGAATTCCTGAGAGCAACTTTGGATATTCCATTGAGCGTAAAACAGATATTAGGGAAAGAATGCACGAATGGCAGGAACGGTGGACAAAGCAGACGACGTCGCACAATGGACTAAACGACTAATCCGAGACATACAGAAACGGTATAGCTGCAAGTTTCGTCAATTTGACTACTTCTTGACACAAATACTCAGACATAGACAATTCAAAGAGTACGCCAAAAAGATTGGCAAATCACAAGAGGACACTTGCATTATCTGCCAAGAAATGGACACAGCAGAACATACTGTTTTTTGTGCCCTCGCTGGGTCTAAGATATATCATATGGCCTGTCACACAGGGAGCACTATAGGCCCAGAACGCATGATAAGAGACGTTTGAAAGCCGAAAGATCTGGCAAAATGTACAAAGTTTTCCAAATCAGAGATGACGAAAAAAGAGGAGAAAGCAAGAGGTAGATAAATAAGAGAAGCTCTCCAAGACACCACCGTCCTCACTATATGCTTCAAGCTGTTTCTTTGGTGATGATTTCTGATTCTATGTCCGGTATTAGTACTAGTACTAGTACTAGTACTACTACTACTACTAGTAATATTACTAGTAGTAATATTAGTAGGTCTGTAGACGCCATCTTGTGATCGCGAATGTTTATCGAACGTAGAGCGCCCTGGTGACGACATATCGACCTGCACCTGTCGTGGAGCGGGGGTGGAGGCCGCAGAGGTGTTGGAGGCGCACCCTAACGGCGACCGGAGAGATCGCGCCCGTTGCCACATTTAAGGAACTTAAGCGGACCTGTCGGGTGTTGGGGAAGGGGATGCCACTCCCGGAGATTGGCCTGCGGTTGTGGCACACGTCCGCCTGAGGCGACCGTGTAGGCGATGAGCCGACCAAAACACGAGTGAGAGCGGAGCCGATTTGGAATTGACTAATTCCAGTGGAGAGAAAGGAAACCCCGGCGGAGCAAAAGTTTAAAAAAAAAAATTTGGGGGAAAAAAAAAAATTTTTGGGTTGGGGGGAAAAAAAATCGCGCGGTACAATTACAACGAACCGTTTCGGAACTTGGAGCGTGCCTGTCCCGCATGAATGTGGTGATCGGCTTGACCAAAAACATGCAAAAAGTAGTAAAGGAAGGTATGAAGGAAGCAATGGAGCTCCTCCAAAGACTGGAAGGAAACAGCAACCAAACCTTATTAGCATTGAAAAATGAAAAGAGAGGAAAAGCGCATGATGGACAAAACATGCCAAGTGAAATTATTCAAGGAACTTGGTAGGGCGAAGAAACAAAAAGAAGCACGATCAACAGATCGAACTAGCCAGCAGAAATGACCAAGGAAAGAGTCAGTCTTCAGAGCAGACGGAACATGGCGAAACAAACCAAGAAAACCGCGAAATGGAATACGATGAAACCTGCGAGAAAAGAGTTTGGTAAACAGTAAAATATAAAAAGAAACAGGCGAAAGAAACGACTACACTGAAGCAGAAGCCGAAACCCGTACAAAGGCCATAAACGTTATTGCAAAGGATAATGTCACGTATGCAGACATTTTCAAGGAGCTAGGAAATAAA